GGTGTGAATCATTTTGCTAATGACAATTCGTAGACTTTGTTGTGTTAACTTATTTAAGGTAGCAAATTGTAAAGGAGATTATGCTATTGGAAATAGGCTATCTCAGTTCTGTGAATAAACTTAGTTTGGGTAGGAAGACTGATGCACAACAACTCCTCGGTTCCGTTAGTTCGGGTACTTTGATTTCGGATATGGTGACAAGAGCGAGCTTTTCAATAACTCAAATGCTACATAGACAATTTAGAACATAGAATATCAAAGTAGGCAATCTGTTTCATTAGTAAACTCTATGTGCACTTTGAATTTGCCATTGAGACCTCTGTTATCTCCATTTAGATGAAGAGATATACAAGTTTCTGTCTTACTAGGGTTAATATACTCTTTACATTGAATTTTTACAAACTCTAATGAATTCAGTGTTTCTGTTATGGCTTACAAATTTGCAGGGTTTATCAGCTGACATTCGCCAAGCTTTAATGGTGATGGTTAACCACTGCATAAAGCGAGATTACCTGGCTGCATCGGACCACTACATCAAACTAGCTATAGGGAACGCGCCATGGCCCATTGGTGTGACTATGGTTGGTATCCACGAGCGTTCAGCTCGAGAGAAGATTCACACCAACAGTGTTGCTCACATCATGAACGACGAAACCACTCGCAAGTATCTTCAGTCGGTGAAAAGATTGATGACTTTCTGCCAAAGACGTTATCCAACTATGCCTTCTAAAGCCATCGAGTTCAATAGCTTAGCCAACGGAAGCGATCTACAGTCGTTGCTAGCCGAAGAGAGATACTTTGGTGGTAATCGCGAAAAAGTCTCGGAGGAGAGACTCTGCCTCATGCCTCCTCAGAACCAAAACGAAAGCTAGTCTTCACAGTGTTTCTGTTTCACTGTATTTCTTGTGTTAAATCTTCTCAGATAATTATGAAACGTTGACTCTAAGTTATCTTCTTTTTAACTCGTTGACCTGATTCTCGATCCTTATTACACAGCACGTGACATGTAGGAACATATCAAAGCTTGCAAAACGACGTCGCTTAGAGATCTGGTAAGGGTAAGAGAAGAATCAAATCTTGGAACCTGATTGGTCCAAATTTTATGATCATCTTATCCAAAAATGTTCGATTCTCATCAACTCTCTCTCTATCTCGTGATCGTAGTCTATTAAGCCATATACACATTTCTCTCAACCCATTTACGTTAAAAAAAAAAGATTTAGAAAATATGGCAGCTCAAGCCGCCGGAATCTTCAGCCCCGCCGTAACAAACGCCGCTTCTGCCGTGAAGAAACCCAACCTCTTCTCAACAACCCACCGTCCAAAATCTCTCTCCTTCACCAAAACCGCAATCCGCGCCGAGAAAACAGAATCCTCTTCTTCTTCCGCCGCCGTGAAAGAAGAAGCTCCGGTTGGATTCACTCCACCGCAGCTAGATCCAAACACACCGTCACCGATCTTCGCCGGAAGCACCGGAGGTCTTCTCCGTAAAGCTCAAGTGGAAGAATTCTACGTCATTACATGGAACTCACCCAAAGAACAAATCTTTGAGATGCCAACAGGAGGAGCTGCAATAATGAGAGAAGGACCAAACTTGTTGAAACTAGCGAGGAAAGAACAGTGTTTGGCTTTAGGTACGAGGTTGAGATCAAAGTACAAGATCAATTACCAGTTTTACAGAATGTTTCCTAATGGAGAGGTTCAGTATCTTCACCCAAAAGATGGAGTTTATCCAGAGAAAGCAAATCCAGGAAGAGAAGGTGTTGGACTAAACATGAGATCTATTGGGAAAAATGTTAGTCCCATTGAGGTTAAATTCACTGGGAAACAATCTTATGATTTGTAGATTTTATATAATTTGTGTTGCATAACAAACAAAAACATTATATATGTGATGAAATCTTGTGGATGTTATAACAATCCCTTTGAGTTTGTAATAATCCCCAACCTATTGAGAGAATATTTTTGTTTTCATTTTAGCAAAAATATTTTTTACCGAAAAGTTACAATTTTTTTTTTGTTTGTCGTATGTTACATTTATTTGGAAGTATTATCCACATAACAAATACAGTAATATATAGACAGTAAACACAAAATAATATCTAAACAATAAATAAAGGTAATATTTACAAATTTAAAAACAGAATCTATTGTTTCTGCTACTCATTTTTTCTTTTGCTAACTTATGCTTTACAT